CGCCGTGGGGCTGCAGGCAGCCAGGTGATGCTCAGCTGCCCTCCCCCGGGCTCGTGTGCCCCCGTCGCCCGTCTCACCGGGGTCCCCCGCGGCCGATTCCGCACGGCTCACCCCCATTTCTCCGTCAGTTCCCGCACGCTGCTCTCCCGTGCCTCCCTGGCGCGCCTGCACACCGCCGGCTTCCCGGAGATCCTGGACCACAACCAGGAGCCGGTGGAAATCTCGGAGCCGGCAGACCCAGCGACTTTCAGCCTGCGGCTGGAGGAAGCCGACCCTCTGCAAGGCAACGAAATAATCCTGCAGTTCCTGGCTTTTGGCAGGAGAGGTGGCAGCTCTTTGTGGTGCCTTCTGCAGGCACATCCCAGGGGCCTCCTCTCTCAGGGACAGTCCTTTCCCAAAATCCCCCAACCTGCTTCCCTGCTTGAGCAGGAGAAGTCCTTGCAAAGGTGCTGCTTCTTCCAGCACTTGCCATGGAGGCAAAGCACCAGAGGGTTTTACAATGATGCTCTTGTCCTTTCCGGGCACTCTTAAATCCTATTCCTTTTTTTTTTGTTGTTGTTGTATCCATTAGCCACAGTGTGATGTAAAAGCTAGTTAACGCAGGGTGTCTCCATAAACGCATATGGAGTTGAGAAAGTTGGTACCTGTGGGGGTGGGTTTGGCTGGATGAGGCCCCACTTGTGTTTTTTTTCCGTGGATGTCAATGTGCTGTGCGAAGGTAAAGCGCTGCCTTGGCTGGGCTCCTCCGTTGCAGCATATGGTGGGAGACAGCTGGAATTATGAAGTTTTTTGGAAAGCCAAGGCAAACCATATGCCTGCTGTCTTCAGAGAAGTCCAAATACTTGTGATGCTGCTGATCTTCTCTTGTTCTCCTGCCTCTCTGTGCGTGCCAAACGCACGAGGAGCTTGTGATGGGGAGGCAGCGCCGTGCCGTGACCTAACCCCAACCCCTCTCTCTCCCTCAAGGGATGCCCGGGACGGCACGGAGGGGACGTGGCCGAAGACCGTCTTCCTCACCTTCCAGTTCTACCGTTTCCCGCCGGTCACCACGCCGCGGCTGCAGCTGGTCAGCACAGATGGGGGGCCGGCGGCCGGGACGGCTGTGCCAGCGCAGCTCCTCGTCCGGGTGAACAAGGACGGAACCCTTGGCACTGGTAAGCTCCAGTTTTAGCATCCTCTTGCGGCTGCTCCTCTTCCATCAGTCAGATCTGGGCTTGTTTCTGGGCTGAGAAACGGGCCGGTGTCTGCTTTAGTGGCAACCCTTCACTAGTTTGCGTGGCTTATCATGAAAAAACGTTCAAAATGTCCAATGTTTGAAGTAAAGCACCGGTAAGTGTTGGTGGCGCGATTTGCACGTCGAGGCTGCCGGCTCCGGCTGCAGCTAAGTGCCTTTGGAAGGAAAGGCAACACGTGAGAGCGCAGCGCCCGGAGTGAGCGGCTCCGATCGGTCCAGCTGAACGCTCTCCTTTATTTCTTCCTGTGTCTTGTTAAATTCTGGTCCTGAGAGACACCAAGCGCTTGTGGCTGACGAAGCTCCTTCTCCGTGTGGAGCTGTTAATGGAAATGAGAGGGAGATCCGTACAGACGGAGTGTTTCTGTGTGAGGCTGCCAATCCTGGGGCGCCTTGGACCTTACTAATTGACCGATGGGTTTGATAAGCGGAGGAGAGGGGGTCCGAGCAGGCAGGCTGCTCTAGAGCAGAAGGGTGTCCCTGTCCCCGCTGATGTACTGGTGGAAGCGCCATTTCCACGACGATGCCGCGTGTCTCGCAGGACCGCCGGGCTTGCAGCTGAAGTACATGGTGGATCCCGCTTTCCTGCGCCCCGGGGAGCAGCGCTGGTTTGTGCGGTACCTGGCTGAGCACAGCCTCCAGATTGACGTCTGGGATGGAGACTCCCTGCTCCTCGTTGGGTCCGCTGCCGTCAAACTGGAGGTATTGGTTATGTTGAAGGTCTTTCCCCTTAAGCCCTCAGGACTGCTAACGATGGAGGAGACCCCCTGCGTAGCATGCAGGAGTGTTAAGGACGAGGCTGACTTTTCCTTTGGTCCCGTGTTGAGATGCTGTTGCGTTACCCTCCTGTCTTCAGTAATCGAGTCGCTGTCAGCCCCTCTGTGTAGCCGAGACCGACGTCAGCCTGACAAGCCCCTAACTGTGGGATTTGTCATCTTCTCCTCAAAAGCGATGGCAAAACGTTAACTTCCTTCCAATTCCCTGGAACTCCTGCCGTGTTCTAGGGCTGAACCCCCCAGACCTAGGACAGACGGAGACATCCTCACCCAGACCGGACTCCCCAGTAACTCGTTACCCCTCGCCCATCCTCGCCTTGTCCCCAGCCCCTGCTGCGCCAGGGCCGAGCAGCCGTCAGGACCCACCACGAGCTGGAGGTGGCCACGACCGAGTACGAGCCGGACGTGACGGTGATGGGCCGGGAGGCGCTGCGGCACGGTGCCCTGCGGCCCCTCGGTGTCCGTGTGGTGGTGAGGGGCCGCCTCCACCTCTGCCTGGCCAACATTGGTAAGAGCCCGCTGCTGATGTGGCCAAAAGGCTTGGGTGCCAGCGCCGGTGCCCCGCAGCACGTGCCCCTCGCCGGGTACCTCCGGTGCCACTCGGAGCCCCCATCCCGGCACCGGCTGGGATGCGGGCAGAGGCGTGCGGCTCCTGGTTGTGCTTGCGATCCCTTCCTGCCTGCTCGGCTGGAAATGCCGGCGCAAGGTGGCGGGGAGGCCGGCGGTGCGGGGACGGCACCGTGCGGTTAGGTGCTAGCAAACAGCACGGGGCTGCGGGGAGAGACGGGCAGCACACACCCGAAAGGAAGCCACGCTTGTAAGAACGCTATTCTTCCCAGAACCTGCTGGGTGCTTCTATTTTATATATTTAATTTCCCGTCCTACAAACGTGCAGTGACTCCAGGTTTTAAAATCTTACCTTCAGAAGAAAGATTAGCTCCATTATAAGATATCTTAAATCGTCGTTTCCATACTTTGCCTGCAAGGGGACGATAAGCTCCTGGGAAGGAGAATCTGAGATTCACAACCCAGGGAGAGGTTTAACTCACACCCGGCAAAAGGAGGGGGAGAGCAACCAGAGTCACTGCACCATGACAACACCGCCCTTTGATTGTTTGTTTTTTTTTTGTTTTTTTTTTTGCCTGGCCTCTTTTTTTTTAAATTTCAAAATACTGTGGTTAAAAGCGGTATTGAATAGCTCGGTACCCCTGCCCGAAGGATGGGGACGGGATTTCTAGGCTGAGTAAATACCAGTGGGTTTTCAGCCTTGTCCGGCGCTGCCGGGCACAGCCGCGGTGGGAGCACGAGTGGCAGCAGGAGCGGGGAGACGCGGCGGCGCGTGGCTGTGCCGGTGGCAGCACCGCAGCCTGGGGATGGAGAACACAGATGAAATGCAGAGCTGGTTTAGGGGCTCAGCGGTGAATCGCTCGGGATGGTGCCGTGCTTTTCGTGCTGCTCCATCTCTGGGCGGACGGCTGTATGGTGACAACAGCAG